GGCTGATGGCACAGCAGAGTAATGACATCATCTGATTAATATTCAATTATCCATGTGAGCAAAATTACATCAAATTAGCAGTAAACAGCTTGTGAAATATGACACACAATAAGAACTTTCCACATTTGTTGTGAGCTGCAGGCTTTACACTTTCATGTGTCAAGAGTATTCATCAAGTATTTCAATGCAAATCAATGTATTTAGTTCTACATTTAGAAAAGATTTTCTTTATAATAGTAGCCGTTTTTTAATCGGTGTAAAGAATAACTGGTTGTTTACAAAAGCATTTTCATATTGATAAAGGCGTCTGCAACTTTTGTGAAGCATCAAATCACCGGCATATTAACTGTCAAAACATGTTTATGACTGCATAAATGTATTATTGCTTTAAAAAAGTCACATATTGTGCATTTCTATTATACACAATTTGTACTAAAACGATCTAAAACGTTCAAATCAATAAGTTTTCTCTTTGCACCACCAGGTGGCAGTCTTTGTACTTTCATTTCGAGGGTGCAGATTGCATACGTTTTATTAATATGTATAACTTTATTTATTTTATTAATGACTATAACTTTATATTTATATATATAGTTAAAAAATATGTACCATTTTCCCAAGTGTATGTAACTACTACTGTAAGAAAATATCAGAATTCGGAACATACTTTCAGTATTATCTTTGCTTGAACTAAGCCGATCTAATCCTGTTTATATGAATTGAACCTGCTCCCGATCAGGTTTGACCTAGCAAAACTGTTGCTATGACAACAACTCTCGGATCAGCTTTGAAGAACGAAACGATCCTGGATTGAGTCAAATCGTCAATATCCAAATTCAGCTAACTGAGTAATCCATGTACGAAGAACGGACCCCAGGTGGCAATCTCTGTACTTTCATTTCCGGAATGCACATTGCATAAGTTTTATTAATATATAACTTTATTTATTTTATTAATAACTATAACTTTCTATAGGTATAAATGTAGTATTTTCCCAAGTGTATGTAACCACTACTGTAAAAAAATATCAGAATTCGGTACACACTTTCTGTATTTTCTTTGCTTGAACTGAGCCGATCTAATCCTGTTTATATGAATTAAACCTGCTTCCGAGCAGTTTTGATCTACCAGAACTGTTGCCATGACTCTCAGATCAGTTTTGAAGAACGAAATGATCCTGGATCATGTCAAATCGTCAATAACCAAATCCAGCTAACTGAGTAATCCACGTATGAAGAACGGACCCCAATTCTATAAAAAAAAAATAAAAAAAAAAAATTCAAAGGCTGATGCCTTTTAATTTGTATGTTGTTATTTTTTAGTATTAAAAACTACTATTTTATCTACAGTGGGTTATGGTTAAAATATGGCAATTCGGAGGTGATGTTAAAAAAACGTTGATCGATTTATGCGGAAGTGACAAACGGAAGGTTTTATATTTTCTAAACGCAAAATTTTGTTACTGTTTTGGAGCACACCAGCCTATACACTCGCTGGCCACTTTATTAGGTACACCATACTTCTACCAAGTGTGACCCCCTTTTGCCTTCAGAACTGAATTAATCCAAACACGCCATGTAAATCATCTCAGACTTGTTTCTTGAACATGGCAATGAGTTCCCCTTCGGTTGGGGAACTTCAGTGCCATGAATGGGAGGATTCGGATCAGAAGCCGCTTATCTGGAGAGTATTGAACGGGCCAATGAATGAAATTAATTGGCAGCGTAAGCTTGCGCAGGTGTGCGACATCTGCAATTATCTCAGCATATAAGCACACCTGAAGCCAGCAGACGCCATCCTTTTCGCTTCAGATCCTTTCTGAGTGAGTCGATGAGGGTTCCTCTTGCTGATCAGCACTTCAGAGCGAACGAGTGTGTCTCCCGGTCCAGAGTGGGTCTTCGCGGTGGCAGACGGTCGAGCTGGGTTACTCCCTTGCCTGCGGTTCTTTTGGGTCCGGTCCCTCCAGAGCGGTGCGTATAGTTGCAACTTTCCTAAAGAGCAACACAGTCGTGCAGCACGTCCTTTTCAGGATGGCGCTCCAACTGTGCTTTTCGGGATCGGGGGGTTCCTGTCTCCGGATGATGGACACGATCACTGCATTGCATGTTTGGGGGTCCAGCATGTTAATGCGGTGCTCGCGGGCGGTTCATGTCGTCATTGCGATGCCATGACCGTTGCACAGCTAAGATCGCGGCTAACTTTCGCAAGAGAGCGAGCCACCCCAGTTGCCTCCTGTTCTAAAAAAGCAGCGGGCGCTCGGGCAGATCTGAGGGTTTCAGCGGGAGCTAATCCGCCGCCCACGGGCTCGCGGACCTCTCGCTCCTCACGGCGCTCCATCCAAGCTTCGGGTGGTGAAAGTGATCCGTCTAACCAGATGGTAGCTCTCACACTCGCTGACACCGGAGATCAGATGTCCTCCGCGGCATCGGAGGGTGGGCTTTCACTGTCCGACGAAGATCCGGACCCGCTCGCCCCCTCCGGGCAGGTGAGCGCTGTCAAATCGGATCCTGAAGCGGACATGTTAGCCGTGCTTTCCCGGGCTGCTTCGGCCGTGGGGTTGGAGATGGTTTATCCCCCAGCTCCGCGGCCGGACCGACTAGATGGGTGCTACGTAGAGGACCAGAAGGCGAAGCCTTCGAAGCCTCTCGTCCCCTTCTTCCCGGAAGTGCACAGTAGGCTCACGCAGTCCTGGAGGGCACCTTTCTCTGCCCGTGCTGCGAGTGCCTCCGCCCTCACCGCCCTTGACGGCGGA